CTTCTGCCAATGCAAATCAGAGTTCACTCTGCAACTTATAGTGGTGGATACGGACTTGTTAAGTGATTTGCTCAGGATTGTGAAGAAGCCAATATGTGTTGGAGGAGACATGTAAATTTAGACACCTAAATCCTAACCTTCCTAATTACAAGGCAGGATCATGGGATCACAGATTTGGAGTGGAAGGGGACCTTAGACATTCTCTCTCTTGCAACCTACTCATTTTACAGATGAGGAGAGGCCCAAGTAAGTTGGGTGTCTTGCCTTATGATCACATAGATAACAAATGACAGGTGGAATTTGAATCCAAATTCTCTGACTTCAGATCCAGTGTTATTTCCACTGTGTACAGGGATTAAAACAACAAACTAAAAAGAGACTGATATGGAATTCGGCAAAATTTTAACAGCTTATAAGAGTAGCTTACTCCCAACTTCAGTGAAAATACATATATTAAGTATATACCCATCTCTTCCATAGATCCTTCTCATTGACTCTTTAGTTCTACAAAGTCAATCCCATTCCCTAAAATTTCTCATGCTCTTTATATGCCCAAGGCTGGGTTCCCAGAGTCAATATTATTCCTTTTCAGAAAAAAAAAAAGTTTTACCTGAGGTATCTACACACCCTCCCAACAAGAAAAAAATCCCTCCCCTTCATAATCTCCTCCACAGAATTGGGATCACAGATATGATAAAGAGTAGTTGGGAGTAAGTTACATGCAAAGAATTGAAGGGGATTATTTATATCTTCAAAACTCCAGACTTGTCAGTTTCTAGCTCTATATCCTTAGGCTTTGTCTCAGAAAGTCATGTTTGGTTACTTCCTTACAACCTTCCCTGGAAGGCACCCCTCTATATCTGTACATCTACATGAGAATTGATACCGTTCTGGTTACTCCTTCCCTCAGACATTCTGAACGGGGGCTATATAGATAAAGTCAAGTGTTCGTAAACTAGTCTGCCTGTGCTATGGAAGATGACAGCTCAACTGGATTTGATCTAATTGAGATGTGACAATATTCTTGGACTGGAGGTATACAGATTATTTAGGAGGGATGGAAGGCTCAGGAAAGACAGGCAAAATGGACTAGGAGCCTGGAGATTTGGATTCTACCCCCATTCTGCCACTAACTAACTGTGTGGCCTTGGGCAAGTGGCCTTAACCTTTCTTGGCTTCAAGTTCTTAATATGTAAAATGAGAAAGTGGGCTTAGGTGATCTTAAGATTCCTTCCTGCTCTAATATTCAATGATTTTTGTACATTAAAGATAAAGATACTAACTCCATGGTTTAGAAAAAAAGAAGAGAAGGAAGGAAGGAAGAGAAAAGAAGAAAGAAAGGTTAGTCAGAGTGAATCTCTACTGGAAAAATTTTGGTAGGAGATGATTGTAGTCTTGGTATACTAAACCTTGGGGGCAATTAAGCAAAGCTACTAAGGCAAAGAGCCTAGTGGCAATTACCATGAGGACAGTTAGAAAATTAAAGTAGCAGGTCATTAATGGATCAAACATATTTTTAAGATTAAATGGAAGAAAAAAAAAGGTTAAATGGAAGAGGGAAAGCTAGGTGGAAGAGTGGATAGAGCACCAGGCCTGGAGTCAGGAGGACCTGAGTTTTAATCTGGCTTCATACTAGACACTTGACACTTACTAGCTGTGTGACCCTGGGCAAGTCACTTAACCCCAATTGCCTCACCCAAAAAAAAATTAAATAGAAGATGACTCATAGATTTAGAGCTTTAGGAATCAAGTCTATCATTTTACATATTCCTAAGGGAAGGGTATTAGCAACTGGGTGGGTAGAAGGGACTCAAGACAAGCTCCCTTTAGGGGTGGCACATGAGCTGACCTTGAAGAAAGGTAGGACTTCTATGAAGCAGAAATGAGAAGGCCATGCATTCCAAGCATGAGGAAAAGCTTATATAAAAGTGCAAAGAAAAGAGAAAGAATGTCATATACAGGGACCAGACTCAGAGAGGGTTAAGGGACTTACATGTGGTTGTTGTGCAGAATGTAAGAGATAAATCTCTTGATGAAATATTTACAAAAGGAAGGGATTAGTTAAGTATCTGAAGCAAGAAGGCAACCTTCAGGAAACAAATTATAAAAATGGCAGGTGTTCAGAATTTCAAGAAAAGAAAGGCCAGCTATCATTCAAAGAGAAAATTAAAAGTCCTCATAAATAAACAGAACAAAGTGCAAAGGGATATGCACAGTATAGGATACTGGGGGAAGAAAAATTAAGTAGTATAAATACAATATATAGGAAGATGAGGTGTGTCAAGTATAGCACAAAAAAAGTAGAGGGGGAAGTGGGGGTTTTTATTTAATTCATTTAATTGAATAAACTTTTATTAAGCACCTATTAAATGCCAGTCACTAGCTAGCCACTGAAGACACAAGTAAACAAACAAACCCTGAAAGGGTCTTTACACTTGAGGAGTTCATATTCTGTTGGGGATATGAAGCAATACATACATAGAAATTTTAATGCAAAATATATTTACAAAGTAATTTCTGAGGGAAGGGTACTAGTAACTGGGTGGGTAGGTGGGACTCCAGATAGGCTTCTTTTAGGGGATGAAACATGAGCTGAGAGTGAAGAAAGGTAGGGATTCTGGGAAGCAGAGATGAGAAGGCCATATATTCCAGGTATGAGGGGAAAGTTTGTATAAAAGTGCAGAGAAAAGATATGGAATGTCATGTACAGGGAACAGCAAGCAGGTCACTTGGCTGGAACTCACAGTTCAGGAAGGAGAGTAATGTGTAAGAAGTGTGGAACAGTAGGCTGGAACCATATGGTGAAGGGCTTTAAATGCCAAACAGAGGAGTTTGCATTTTATACCCTTTTGGTAAGAGTGAGTCACTGAAGATACTTGAGTGGGGGAGTGATGTGGTCAGACTGGTGCTTTAGTAATTTCAAGTTGGCTTCTGAGAAGGATGTTTGACAAGTTACCCATCAATTGTGCAGTTAAGAAAAAGCAAGCATGACAGTAAGATGCAAAAATGGGCATAGAATTTTGGAACCATGGCTAGTACTAGGCTCAGACCTTTGATGGCACAATTCTAAAAGCCAAAACTAAAAAGAAAAAAAAACCCAACCAAAAAAACACCTAACAAAAAACTTTGAAATTATTCATAAGAGTAAAAAAAAAAGAATATTAATGGATTATAAAACAAAGCTAAGGCCTGAGAGCTCACTATACATTTGATGATTGAAATGGAACTAGACTACAGGTAAGAAGTACGAGAATAGGTCTTTAAGTAGATGAGATTATTCACTAACTTCCAGGAGAAAAGAATATAATGAAATAGATATTGTGAAACATGATATAAAAGAGGAAAGTTATAGAATAACATTTTTTCAGAAAAGAAGAAGATTCTTATCCGCAAAGAAAAGTTTTAAGTGTAGTATATCCTAAAGTCAGAGCAATGGACTAGGTGACCTCTCAATGTGTCTTCCAGAAATGAGATAGCAATGTGGAATTTGGGGCAGCTAGGTGGCACAGTGTACAGTCAGGAAGACTCATCTTCCTGAGTTCAAATCTAGCCTCAGACACTTACTAGCTGTGTCACCCTGGGCATGTCACTTAACCCTGCTTGCTTCAGTTTCCTCATCTGTAAAATGAGCTGGGATCTCTGCCAAGAAAACCTCAAATGGAGTCACAAAGAATTGAACAAAACTGAAAAAAAGCAATAGCTTAACAACAAAAAGTGAAATGAACATCGGCACTAGGGTCTAAAAACCTGCCTTTGGGCTTCAGTTTCTTCAACTTTAAAAGAGGAGGATGGACTAAATGGCCTCTCAGCTCCCTTGTACTTCCAGATCTATGACTCCCTCAACTTGTTAAGATTCAGTTCTTTATTCTCCTTAAATTTTCAAGGTTGGTGTGAAACTCAGATCCATTTCCTTTTAAGTTAAGAAAGTGATTTTTTTTTCTTGCCTTCATTTCCCTTCTCAGTAGGGTCTTCTCGGTTGCCTTCTGTTTTGTGATTCGAGGTCCAATGGAAGAGAATATGATTCAACACACTCACACTCGACATATTTTTGTAAAAGTGCAATCATGGGTTTGTTCCCTTCCTAACGTTTTTTTTCCTTCCAGGACAGTCTCGTGTATGTGTCTTAATGCTTATTCATAGCTAAACGGAGAATGCTAAAGTGTGCATGAAATAAAGAATTAGTTGTAATTTTAAAGGCGTTAAAAAAAACCCTGACTTGCGATTTCTGTTACTGTTATTTACTCAAGTACCGTCCTCTCACTTCAACAAAAGAATAACAGCTGGTAGGCCGTTACCAAAATGAGGTACACGTTTTCCTTCCCTGCTGGGAACAATTACAGGTGGAATCACGAGAGGCATATTTTAAAAAGGCAATGGATATTATGAAAATCAGCTGTAATCACATAAGGCAGCTCAACTACATTTGCACTTGGAACAACTTCAACCCTGTCCTATCTAACACACAGGCACCATTCGCTAAAAAACAGGATTGTGGGTGTGTTTGTTTTTTTTCTGCTTCATTTAAAAACCTAATTTCATTTAATTCTTTAAACTCCCAGGGGTTTTTCAACAAAACCCAGGACCATCTGGTAGTGCTGGTTTGCTATTTGCTAGTCCACACTCAGTGTTTCACTGAAACCACCGTAATGATGGAAAGTCTCCGAACTTCTCCCTGAATAGCCAACTATTTATTCACTTAGAGATAGTCTAGTTGGAAAACAAACAGAAAACTGGAAAACAAAGCAAAACACATACACACACTTCTGCTCACTTTCTGAGCTGGCCATGTGTCCCACGGCCATTCAGCTTCTACTTGGTTTGAGAGCCAGTAAGGCAAGACAGACTCCTGATAAAGGAAGGGAAAGGACGACGCAGATAAGGAGGGTAGTGGAAAAGTATCAAGCTATCCTCCGACCACCGGTAACAGAGAACTCATAGCCCGGGAACAGGAAGGGAAAAGGGAAAGGAATGCCAGAGGCTCTTTGAAGACGTGCTCTTACCCTGGGGTAGAGATGAGGCTGCGGAGGCAGCTTCGGCAGCCGAAGTCGAGCTTTGCAGCGGCTTTTTCCAGGATCCCAAGGGAGCAGCCGGCCTGCCTCTGCTGCCTCCCGGAGGCCCTCCGGAGCGGGGAGTGGTGTTGCGGTGGCTCTCGGTGGCCGGGCTCAGGCTGTAGCTGTTATAACCTCGGTGCAGCGAGAATTTACAGACGTTACGGCCGCGGTGGGTGCAGTTGAAAAGGTAGCAGTTCAGGTCGCCGTTGTCCTGGGGCTGGGGCAGCTCCACCACCGCCACGGTGCAGAGGGGCTCGGCGCAGCACGCGGCCACGCATTGCTGCCAGTCCCGTACTGCGGCGGGCGCCGTTAGGAAGGTGGCCCCGGCGTCGAGCGAGTCCTTGGTGCGGATGATGGAGTCGGGCTTGACCGTGTAGCCGCCGCCAGGGCAGCCGGCTTCCGCCCCGGCTCGCTGCTGCGGCCGCTCGCGGTTGTCGTCGCTTTCGTCCGGCTCCCGCGCCGGCGGCTCCTGCTGCAGCTGCTTGCGGAACTCTTCCAGCAGCTCCTCCACGCCCGAGATGGACGAGCGCAGCTCGGCCAGCGGCGCCGAGCGCTGTCCGCCGGCTGCCTGGCCCAGCAGCCACATGACGAGCAGCAAAGGCAGCCCCAGCCACTGCACCTGCTGGCCCCGCGTCCCGCTGCCCGGGGGAGCCCAGGCCATGGCTGCAGGCCCGGGGATAGACGGAGCACCGAGGCTGCGTGCGAAGCCGCCCGGGTCGCTCGGGACAGAACCTAGGAGGAGCAAAGGAGGACGGAGACGATGGAGAAGGGAAAGGAAGGCAGGAAGGATGCAAACGAAGTGCTGTGCCCCTCGCTCTCCAGAGTCCTTTTCGCTCCAGCAGTCCGTCCCAGGTTCAGTGGACTCCGCCTGATGGGCTTTGCTGCACCGCGGCCCAAGACACCTCCCCGGCCCGTGGAGCAGCCGCCCGAGGCAGCATGGCCTGGCCGGCGGTGGCACGACTCCTTTTTGGGGGGCTGTTGTTGATGTTGTAATTCCCAAACCTCGCCTCTTCCTGGGCGCACACCCACGCGCCTGCCGCGGCTCCACTGGCGTTCTCCCCTCCCTCTCTGCACCTGCCTGCCCGGAAGATGGGTCTTAGTGCTGTTTGCCGCCAACAGACTCAGTGCTGTGCCAGGAGACACTGAACAGCTGGCTCTCCGCCCCTGGAGGCTCCTCCCTCACCCCCCCTCTTCCCTTCCCTCTCTGTCCGCCGCCCCGGTCTACCTCGGTTCGGTTAAAGGGAGGTGGACATTGGGGTGAAGATCTTCCCAACCCTACTAACGGGATGTGCACGGCCTTTCGGAACCAGAAGCGTTTTCAGGTCAAGGGCAAGAGGTGGAGCGAAATCTGTGATTAAGGTTCACTGAAGCTTTATTAATAATCTGTCTCCCAGAATATAAGCTCTCTGTGGTGGCACCTTGGCATAATGGAAAGAGCACTGAATTTAACAGCAGAAATCTTGGGTTCATATCCCGACACAGCGGCTTTCTACCTATGTGACCTTGGGCAAGTCACTGGACCTTAGTTTCTTCATCAGTGATAAGGGGGCAGGGCGGGAGTAGATAGAATTCAAGCTCTGACTAAATTATATGTGAATTGATCCTTTGAATATATATATTTCATATGTATGAATACGTATATTTGGTTCACATGTATGAGTATATTTGTTTCATATGTATGAATATGTATATTTGTTTCATAATCATGAGTATGTATATTTGTTTCATATGAGTATATATATTTCATACATGTGAGTATGTTTGTATATATGACTGGAGTCAGGAGTACCTGAGTTCAAATTCTGCCTTATACACTTACTAGCTGTATGAATCATCAGTCAACAATGTGATATAATTTTTTTAAAATGTAATCTTAGTTTACTAGGTGACACAGTGTGATAGAACATTGGACCTGGAGTCAAGATAGACCTGAATTCAAATCCAGCCTCAGACACTAGATATGGGACTCCAGGTAATCACTTAATCCTGTTTGCCTCAGTTTCCTCATAGGTAAAATGAACTGGAGAAGGAAATGGCAAACCACTCTAGTATCTTTACCAAAAAAACCCCCAAAACTAGCAAACAAAAAACCCCCACAGGACACGATTGAACAATAACAAATTCAACAATTAAATATTAATGTGACCTTATAACATTTGTATAAGCTTTACAAATATCTCATTTGATCTTCACAGTAGTGGTAGGAGGTAGGTGATATTATCCCTATTTTGCAGATGAGGAAACTATAGACAGGTTAAGTGACTTGCCTAGGGTCCCATATCTAGTAAGTGTCTGAGGCTGGATTTGAATTCAGGTCTATTCTGACTCTAGATCCAATGCTCTATCACACTGTGTCACCTAGTAAGCCAAGATTATGTTTTTTAAAAAAAATTATCACATGGTTGATTGATGATTCCCTTGATAAACTAAATCTTTTCCATGTGAACTATTAATCCAAGTCTCTCTATCCTATAATAATTTATTTATTTCAACTTAATTGCTGAATTTGAAATATAATAGGGAAAAATACATTATGATTGGTTTTGGGGGGGCACTTTTGGGTCCTAATTTTGTTATCCAGTATATTAGTTATCCTTCCAAGTTTTTTTGTCATTCACATGCTTGATAATCATTCTTCCTCTGTCTTCATTCAAGTCACTGATAGAAATATTGAACAGGACAGGAATGAAGTTAGAGCTCTGTGCTATGTCACTAGCAGCCTCTGTTTAGGCTGACATGCTTAATCAATGCTCTTTGATAACTGTTAGGCTACCCAGTACTCTTCCTGGGCAATCTCTTTCTGAAACAAAATCTCTAAGCTGTCCACGAATCAGACAAATTGTACTAGATTGAATCTGATCTTTCCATGTATCATCATTGCTCAATCTGTCCTGCATGTGCCATGTCCAGAGGATGGGGATGGGGGACTAGCAAAGATGTCTTTGTGCATACAGTGATGTCTTTGCCAGTAGCCTGTTTGAAAATCTTCCCAGTGCTTAGCACATGCCTAGTACATTTGTTGTTGTTGTTTTGTCATTTCAGTCGGGTCTAACCCTTCATGATCCTATTTTGGGGTTTCCTTGGCAAAGATACTGGAGTGGTTTGCCATTTCCTTCTCTAGCTCATTTGAGAGATGAGGAACTGAGGCAAATAGGGTTAAGTGACTTGCCCAGGGTCACCCAGCTAGTAAGTATATCTGAGACTGAGTTTGAACTCATGAAGATGTCTTCCTGATTCCAAGCCTAGTACATTATCCACTGCATCACCCAGTAGTCCTGCCTCGTATATAGTAAGTGCCTAATCAAGTCTTTATCTCTTCTCATTCCCACTGGTTAAGCTATACCTCAAAATACTGCCAAGACTCCCAAACTCTACCCTGAACTGCTGTTTCTCCATTCATGTTTCTATATTTGCCATACTCTGGCTCTCAGGCCTCTCAGAGACAAATACATTAGCTTGGTGCCTATTTCCCGATTCTCCTAAATAATCCCAAACAGATTAGCTGTCACTTGCTTCTTTCTGCAGTCACTCTATTCATTGGAGGGAGTGAGGTGAAGGAGAAAATACTTTCATATAAATGGGTAGAAGATATGCATGTTTTCCCTTCTAAGCCCTGTTGAGGCCCTTTGAATCCAGACTTAACAGAACAAATCCCCCTACTAAAAGGATTTGTTCTGTTAAAACTTGGACTCATCAAAAGACTGAACTCAAGGACCTAGAAGGTCACATGTGGGTAGGCATAAGATTACTAGACAGTGAAATGCCATAGATAAGAAAATTTCAATAAGAGATTTGACAAAGTCTCTTGATTTAATCATGGGCAGGATGGAAAAAAATGTTAGCAATTAGGTGGTTGCTGAGATGGTTGTGTGATTATTCCTGGTTTGAGCTGAAAGGTGAACGCAGGTGAAAGTGTTGCTCATCTGCATGGGAAGATTGGCATTTTTTGATATGTGATATGAAAGGTAGTCAATTTGAATCGCACAATATTTTTCTACAAAAATTCATAAATAACAAAGAAGCTGTAACATCATATACTAAAAGTTAAGAGATATAGGACTTGCAACCATCTGGTTAGAACAGGCTCCTTCAGAGCAGGAAGGGTATGCAGATAGAAAGTCAGAGCAAAGGCTTTCATTTATTTATTTCTATCTTAGGGATTTAAAAAATTGTTAACATATGACCCCCAGAATCATGAAGGGACTTGAAACAAAACAGAGTCCAATACACCAATGAAATGCGTTTATTGTTTGAGAAAAGGCTTGTAGGAGAGAGAAGATCCTACCATGGCAGCAGAGGTAGAGAGAGTTTTTCAGCTGCTCAAAGGGGAGAAGAAAAGGAGTGAGATAATATGGTTTCTAGAGGATTTCAGAGGAGGAGAAGAGAGGTTAAGGGAGAAATCTGTAGATATGATAAGTCAGGGAGTAAGGTGTTTGGAAAGTTCTGGGTCTGCAGCTACTGCTCAAGGCTGATTTGAACTGTTCAAGGCTGGTTTGACCTCTGCAGCCATCTCCAAGTTCACCTAGAGTTCACTTCGAAAAGGATCACTGATATGTCCAGCAGCTCTGAGCTTCAGAAATCCTTCTGATTGGCTGGTTGTTGTGTAACTCCATTGTCCTGCTCCTCTGTGAAGAAGGGAAACTCTAGCATACAGTATAGTCATTACAGAGCTCATGGCCACAAATTTAATATTTTATTTTTTCCCCAATTACATGTAAAAATGAATTTTGAACATTAATTAAAAAAAATTTTAAGTTCCAAATTCTTTTCCTCCTTCTCTTCCCCCTTCCCCCATTGAGAATGTAAGCAACTTGATATAGGTGCTACATGTGCAGTCATGCAAAACATTTTCATGTTAGTCCTGTTGTGAAAGAAAAGACAGACAAAAAACCCCAAGAAAAATAAAGAAAAATTATGCCTCCATTTGCATTCAGAGTACATCAGTTCTTTCTCTGAAGATGGATAGGATTTTTCATCCTAAGTCCTTCAGAATTGTCTTGGATCATTGTATCACTGAGAATAGCTAAGTCATTCACAGTTGATCGTCATACAATATTGCTGTTACTGTATACAGTGTTCTCCTGGTTCTGCTCATTTCACTTTGCATTAGTTCATGTAAGTCTTTCCAGGTTTTTCTGAGAGCATCCTGAATAGAGGCTTTTAATCTGTGGTTCACAGACTCCTAAGGGATCTGTGGATAGATTTCAGGGTGGAGGTGTCTGTAAACTTGGATGGGAAAAAAATTACATCTTTATTTATACTAACCTCTAACTAAAATTTGGCATTTATTTAAATTATTTAAAATATTATTTAATTATTTTGTTATTTAAATTTATTTATTTAAATTATTAATTTAAAATGATTTAAAAACTTTATCCTGAGAAGTGCAATTTATGAGTATTTAAGTGAAGATCTTCCATTCTACTCCCTGTTCTTAACTTTATCTGACCGACTCATAATTCTTCAAAGATTACTTTGTATAATTTGACACAACACTTACAACCCTTAGCAACTTCAGGCCATCTGGTCATTGGATTATTGTGTGGATGAGCTGAACTTCTGGGAAAAATTAAGTATGTGTTTTCATTTCTCTGTGTCAGGCAAAGATGAAGACCCACTGGATAGCAGCGAAACAGAATGTACATCTTGGCTGATCATATG